CACACACACACACACACACACACATAAATAAATAAAAAATTTAAAAAAGGGCATTGTACTAGGAAGACACTACTCTGAGTGAACTTCATACAGGAAAGCTTTCTATGTTTTAGTGTCCAACCTGTCAATATATCATCAGGTACTACAGAAACAGAATATACAAGTCTAAAGATCAACATACAGCCCTGCTGTGAGACTCATTAATCTATTCCAGAAAGCTGGACTTTGCAAGAACAGGAAAAGAAAAATCAGTGTGAAACAGAAATTGGCTTTTCCAAAGGTGGATATATAGTAACTACTTATATTCAATGTGGCCTCAAAATGTCTCTGCAGGTGAATTCGGCACATAAATACAAGGACGGTTTCCTTTCTTTCCTTTTGATTCATAGGACATTGCCATAGAGCTTCATCACCAGCCCTTTGTTCAAAGCCCAGCTTGGGCAATGCAGCGACTTAGTGAGACCTTACCTCAAAATAAAAAAATAAAAGAGAGGCCTGGGAATGTAGTTTAGTACAAAAACCAAACATAGAAGACAGAGCTAGGAATGTTGCTTGGTGTGAAGGTACTAGGTTCAATCTCTACTACTACTATCAAAAATAAATAAATAAATAAAGTATAAAGCTCCTAAAAGAAAATATAAGAGATGATTTCCTGGATGTGCCCCTAAAATCAACCAAGATAATAACAGGCTAAAACTATAGCAATCTAAAAAGCTTCTGCACAGCAACACACACACCCACCCACACACACACACACACACACACACCCACCCCCCAAGAGGCAACCAATGGAAGGAATAGAACAACAAATTTCTTTCTTTGGCGTTTAGAACTGAAACCAAGCCCTCATGAACATTAAGCACATACCCCATCCTCAAAATACCCTGCAGCCTAGGAACAGGAGAGGAAAAAATATATGATTAAGGAATTAATAGCCAAAATACAGAAGGACAAGGAACTCCTACAACTCAGCAGGAAAAACCAAATAACCTAATCATAAGACTATACAAAAACATACAAATGGCCAATTCACATATAAAAGATGACCAGCATCACAGATCATCACAGAATGCAAATCAACATTATCGGGCTGGGGAGATAGCTCAGCGGTCTAAGAGCCTGCCTGGCAAGTGCAAGGACTCAGGTTCAATCCCTGGTACTGCATGCTGTGCCAACCCCAGAATGTGGCTGTGCCATGCCGGCCACCAATACCCAATGTGGTGGTGCATACTTGTAATCCCAAAGCTGGGGAGGCTGAGACAGAAGGATCACTGAGGCTGAGCTGCATAGTGAGACTCTGTACCAAACAAAATTAAACAAATAAAAAAAGATTAAAAAATAACATCAACGGGGCCGGGGAGATGGCTCAGTAGAATAAGCGCTTTCTGGCAAGTTCAAGGACCTGAGTTCAACCCCTGGTTCTGCAAAAAAGAAAAAATCATCACCTTATACCTTAACAGCTAATAACATAAATCTCAAAAGCACACGTCTGAACTCCAGTCACGCCGCAACATCTCGTATGCCGTCTTCTCAAAAAAAAAAAAAAAAAAAAAAAATCTCGATGCACTATTAATATAAATGTAAAATGGGGTAGCAACTATGGAAAGCAAAATGGAGGTTACTCAAAAAACATAAAAACTATATGATCCAGCAAAAAACTTAAGGATACTGGGGGCCTGTCTGTTAGCTCAGTTGTTTGAGCACCTCCTTATGCAAATGCAGTCAGATGCAGGATACTGCGGTTTGATCCCCAGCTCCTCATGCCTTACAAGACCCGAATTAAGGCAGCCTAAGCCAGCCAAAAACAAACAAACAACAACAAAAAACACCCAAAAAATTGAAATCAGGAATAGAAAAAATGCCTGCATTTCCATGTTCATTGCCTAACAGATTCTTCATCCCACTGGCATAGACTTCCTGGCTTCCACCTGACCTTTGGGCCTTTCCAGCACAAATCCAGAAAGCAGACCTGAATGAGACTTTGCTGTGGGCTCTAGGCCTCCAGTTGGACTTGTGGGAGGCATAGTTATAAGCTCCCATCTCAACAGCCAACAGATGATAGTAGTAACAGCATACATATGTACTGACAGATGGCTGGCTGAGGAAAATGTGCTATGTCCACATCTTAGCCTGTTTGGTATTTTCCTTTTTCTTTTTTTTGAGACAGAATGTCATTGTGTAGTTCAGGCTGGCCTTGAACTTGTGATTGTGCCATTGCCTCCAAGCGCTGCAGTTACAGACATACGCCACCACACCCAGCTCTTGTTTTGTATTTCTATAACAAAGTACCAAAATTTGGACAACTCACGAAAGGAAGAGGTTTATTCAGCTGACAACTTGAAGGTCGAACAGCACAATACCAGCATCTGCTCAGCTTCTGGTGAGGGTCTCATGACTGAGAGTGTTTGGTTTGGGGTTCTTGCAAGATGAGCAATATGATCCAGGACACATTTTATAGTATCATTTTATAATGAATTACTCAACAATCACAGACAAGAAGTGCAGGAAATCTGTCCACACACATAACACTAAAGACTCTAGCTGAGGACCTAGATCCCAATATCCTGCATGAGCCCAGCTGAAAACCTAGAGCTTATAACTATGCCTCCCACAAGTCCAACTGGAGGCCTAGAGCCCACAGCAAAGTCTCATTCAGGTCTGCTTTCTGGATTTGTGCTGGAAAGGCCCAAAGGTCAGGTGGAAGCCAGGAAGTCTATGCCAGTGGGATGAAGAATCTACTAGCAGGCTGAGGGATCTGAATTGGAGCCAGAAAGCAACGTTCAAGGTAAGCACCAGAGCTCCTCCAAAAGTATCACAGCCATCCTCAGCTGACAGTGAGGTCCCGAGCTCCTACAAAGATGAGGAAAGCCCAAGTTCCCACCAGGAAAACCAGTGCAACAAGCTTCTCCATGAGGCTGAGCAGTGCACCATCTTCCCCTCTGGAGCCAGGTGCTCAAGGTGAGGACCACAGCTCCTTCAAAGTTCACTGGGAAAGCCAGCATGACAAGGTCCTCCAGCAGAACAGCCCAAAAGAACTAGCAGCTTCCAACAGCTCCAAGAGCTTCACTTGTTCTGCCTTTATGCCGCTGGCAACAATCCTCAGGTGGGCCTCCTGCACCCAGCCCCATGCTAGTTTAATTCATGGGTGTAATAAGTTGACCACCAGTCAGAAATCCACTACAGAAGGCATCACACAGCGGGAGCATGTGCCAAGGCAACAGACAGGTGCATGCAGAAGAGGCCACAACACGAGGATGTACCTTGCTTTAAAAGGACCTGCTCTTCCAGTAACTATTCCAATCCTAGAAACCCAATGCACTCCCAAGACCCACCCTCGCCTCCCAATGGGGGCACTGATCATCCATTCATGAGCATGGAGTCCCCAAGACCTAAGTATCTCAAAAAGGTTTCACCATCTCTCAACACAATTATATGGGAATCAAATTTCAACAAAAATTTTTATTGCGGAAAAAAATACCCAATAATTAGCAATATACAACAGAAAATTATTATGATAATTATTACTCTTATTTTTTGAGACAGGGTTTACTATGCAGTTCAGGCTGGTATGAACTCCCTTTGTAGTTCAAGTCAGATCTCAGAGATCCTCCTGCCTTAGCTGCCCCAGTGCTGGGATTACAGGTATGCGCCACAACACCCAGCTACAACAGAAAATTATTCAGTCTTAAAAAAGAAGGTAATCCCGCCTACACAATATTGCTAAACTTTGAGGATAATTATAAAGTATGTAAATTAGGAAAGGAACAGTGGCTGT